AGTTCCCGTCACTTAACAAAAAACACTAGCTCGAAATGCTCTGAAAACATAGTTGTCGTCACTTAACAAAAAACACTAGCTCGAAATGCTCTGAAAACATAGTTGTCGTCACTTAACAAAAAACACTTGCTCGAAATGCTCTGAAAACATAGTTGTCGTCACTTAACAAAAAACACTTGCTCGAAATGCTCTGAAAACGTAGTTGTGTACTGACATTAATCCGTTCATTAACAGCTGTTATTACACTGAATATAAAGGTTTTGAGGCTAAACAATAGAAACGTTTGATTTAAGTAATCTTTACATTAGTCTTTCTATTGATAAATTCCCCTCCCCAGTGGATCAGCTGTATGTCTTCGGACTTATAACGCTAAAAATATTGTGATATAATTAAAAGAAGTCTTTAGTCAACAATTTCAAGGCCTTTTAATAATTCTGGTAAGTTAATTCTCTGCTCTCATAAACACAAGATTTTTTATGACAATGCCACTCACAAAAAAACCAGACATTGTTTAACATTAAACGAATTCTTAAGACTTTTTATGACAATACCACTCACACAAAAAACAGCCATTGTTTAACATTAGGCGAATTCTTAAGATTTTTTATGACAATACCACTCACAAAAAACAGCCATTGTTTAACATTAGGCGAATCTTAAGATTCTTTATGACAATGCCACTCACAAACAGAAACAGCCATTGTTTAACATTAAATGAATTCTTAAGACTTTTTATGACAATGCCACTCACATACAAAAACAGCCATTGTTTAACATTAAACGAATTCTTAAGACTTTTTATGACAATGCCATTCACAAAAAAACAGCCATTGTTTAACATTAAACGAATTCTTAAGACTTTTTATGACAATGCCACTCACAAAAAAACAGCCATTGTTTAACATTAAACGAATTCTTAAGGGTCATGTATTTTTAACTTTACATACATTTGTGCTGTTTTGTCAACATGTCTTTCGACAAATATAAGGAATTCCAATAAAAGGTAACTTCAGTCTACAAGATGCAAATTTATGCTTATTCGAACTTAAATTTTCCTACTCCAAAATCTTAGAAATAAAGATTATAATAAAGCTTTGTACATCACTCATGCTTATATATATACAAGACTTGTACTTTATTATCAAGGTTTCCTTTACACTGCCGAACAAATATATCAACATGAACTTACTCTGGAAAAAACGTCTCTTTCACTAAAATAAAACAACCACCTGAATTTGGATATTGGCATCATTAATCAGACGATCAAGTTCAAAGTTTTTTGAATAAAATGGACACGTTAAACTTTGAAGTTACAAATTATGGACACTTTCAACTTGGAAGTTACACATTATAGACACTTTCAACTTTAAAATTACAAACTATGGACAATTTCAACTTAGAAGTTCCAAATTATGGACACTTTCAACTTTGAAGTTACACATTATAGACACTTTCAACTTTAAAATTACAAACTATGGGCATTTTCAAATTTCAAGTTACAAACTATGGACAATTTCAACTTAGAAGTTCCAAATTATGGACACTTTCAACTTTGAAGTTACAAACTATGGACACTCTCAACTTTGAAGTTACAAGCTATGGATACTTTCAACTTTTACGTTGCAAACTTTGGACACTCTCAATTTTGAAGTTACAAACTTTGGACACTCTCAATTTTGAAGTTACAAACTTTGGACACTCTCAATTTTGAAGTTACAAACTATGGACACTTTCAACTTTGAAATTACAAGCTATAGATACTTTCAACTCTGAAGTTACAAACATGTCTGCAAGTGTTGTAACTTCAATTTCTGCATCTTATTGTTGTTATTTAACACGTCTGCAAGTGTTGTAACTTCAATTTCTACATCTTATTGTTGTTATTTTACACGTCTGC